CCCCACCAATGGGGTGGGATAGCCCTTTGGTCAATCCAAGTCCGCTGTCCTGGCTCTGTCCCCTCCCAGCATCTTGCACACCTCCAGCCTGCTCGCTGCGAGAGTAGAGACAACCTCAAGGCTTTGTGGGCACAGCTCAGCAGCAGCCAAAACAGGGAGGTGTTATCAACACTATTTTAGTCACAAATTCAAAACACAGCACTATACGGGCTGCTGTGAAGAAAGTTAACTATGTCGCAGCCAGACCCAGCACACAGAGGCAGTGGCAGCCTGTCCGTACAGGGCTGAGTGGAAGATGAAGGATGCAGAAAAACGAAAAAAATAAAGACATGTTTCTTCGTCAGATAGCGAATGAAGTAAAACCAAAGCCCCGTTCACTTTCAAGGACTGGTAGGAGGACCCTCGCTGTGATTCGGGCTGATTAATACGCTCACCTGATTAATACGCTCACCAGCTGTCACTGCCCTGAAGTCACCAGCGTTGCAAAATCTCCATGCAGCTCACAGGGACGCTGTGCCATGGAAGCAGCTCAGCCCAGCTGTGTGAACCCACACACTAAAAAGCAGTTTGTGAGGACGCTGTTCCCCCACTTCGGAGTGCTGTCCTCCGTGTTCGGCCTCAGGAGTCTCCAGTGCAGGTCCCAAAGCTGGACAAATAACGAACTCCTGCCTAAAAGTGACAGCTGGTGCTGGGGACTTTCATATGGATCCCCAGACACATCCACTGCCTCTGCACATGTCCTTGGCTTGACAGTGCTGATATTTTGTAAGATGTTTGGCTTCTGCTTGTCACGTAGTTGTTTAAACACAACATTTTAAGTGAGAACTAAATGTGTTGGCCCTAAACTTGTGCTGTAAGACCGGAGGGCAGTCTGTGTTACTGTCGCTCTCCAACACTGCTGTAGTGGGTTGCTGCAGCACACATCTGAGCCAGTACCTTAAACTGATGTTCTTCTTTCAAAAAAAACGATGGGGAGGGAGGTTACACTTAGTGCCGTAACTCCACCCTGAGCAGGTGTCTCTAGTGTTTTAAGGACAGCACAACATTCTCTCTCCAAAGCTGTTCACAAAACAGCTCCTCGGTAAACAAGAAACAACCTATCGTTCCTTCCCTTTAGGGGACTCTACGCAAAGGGCAGTTGCAAACAAACTTTATTTTCCTTTCCTTGCAGACTTCTGAAGGTGTTCCAGAGAGGATCTTCAGAACGTTAAAGGACCTAATATACACTTACGAAAAGCCAAATCAAGGACTAGTAACACACCTCCGCTACCCAGTACAGAAAACAAAGGCCTCCCAACGAAGCCAGAGGTTCAAGTCAGGAAGGGACAGCATTTATGCTGGTGAGAAATTTAGCTCTGCCTTTGTGGGTTTTTTTTTTTTTTTAAGATGAATGTATTGACAGGTTTGTGGTGAATAGTTGCTATGTGTCCTCTGGGATCAGCTTGCAGGGACATCAGTTCAACGTCCTTCCTTCTCTCATATGTTCACTGGAAAACAGTTATTCCCAGCTCACAGGTTACATACCCTCATCCACTACAAATTAACAAGTTAAAATTGCAAGAGATACAGAAGGCAAAGCGTGATGTTGCCCACAGCTCACTGCTTTGTGGGTGTGGACGATTCTATGCTAGGGAAGGCTGAGGACTGGTTTTACCCAACGTGGTTCTGCCAAGTTGCCGGAGCCTTGTACTTCACTGGGAGCTGAGGCTGTCCTTTACCTTCATTGTTCAGGTTGAAACCTATTTTTACACCAAAATCTAACTCAGTTATTTTTAAGATACTGGGGAGGGGAGGGGGAAGCCAGCCAGCTTGTGGTTTGTAGGGATTTGTATTACAACATTACTAATTTTCTAAGTTAGTATGTTGAAAATAAGAAGCATATAGCCTTGTGCTCTGGATCATAGCTTTGGAACCAGAGAGTTCTCTGGTTGACCTTCTGCTAATGCTTACGGGTTCCAGGGGTAAGATATGGAGACCTGCCCAGCAACACAGCCACAGGGTATCCTGCTTACCGTGGGTTTCAGAGGAGCCATTTGCAATATCAGCCTTTCCTTTTTTAATTGATTTCTTTACAGAAGTTGATGACAGTGATTATGTCACTGTCTTACCGTGACTGATCTGCAACCTGACGTTTTGGGAAGCTGCCATTTCAGGCAGTGCCGGAGCACAACAGGTCAGCTGGGGACAGCTGCCAGCTGGGCATTCTCCGCTGTGGGTCTGTACCTCTGGAATTAGTCTCCTCCTTTTGCAGACTGTCAGAGCAGCTGTATTGTCTCCCGATAGATTCTCTACAAGCTGCTGTATCTATTTGTTCAGCAATGAAATAATTAATTTTTATAACAGACACATGCATACATACACATACATATGGGGGGAGGAGGGGGTATCTGTGTGCGTATATGTGTGGTTTGGTTTTTTAGTCAGCAAACTGTTCAAGATGTCTGCTGCTAAAATGAACAGTCTGTTAGAAAGCAGCAATACAAACACAATCAGTGAATGTGCATAAAGCAGAAGTTTATGGCAAAACTGATATACATTGATAAAAATGACACACAGTAAAAATTCTGTTGGCATCACAGGATGCCTAAAAGCCTCTAAACTCTGTTCAAGCTCTAAACTCTGTTATTTTATTCATTATTTGTGTTACCTCATTGTTGGATAAGTGGATAATATTTCAGCTATGTCAAGGAATATGAGTATTATCCTGTAGTTTGGAATAATCTAAATGAAAACCAAAAGGCTGTGTTAAATCCATGCCATAAAGAATTAATCAAGAACATGAAAATGGTTTGAAATATTTCTGACATTGATGAATGGTTCTGGCAGAATACAAGAGAAGTGCAAGTTCTACATGTATATCAGTATGAACACATCCTTTTTTTTTTTTTAATAGGTACTGTACATATGAGAATGCTTACCACATTTCATTTGCCACTGCCATTATCTCTGTATTGTAATATGTATGGGTTTTTTATTTGTTTTTTAATATAAGAATTTGCTTAAATCTTACCACTCACTTTAAATACTTGATATATTTATTTGTTCTGAAGGTAGTCTGCAATTAGCAGCCCAAGCCAGAATTGGAACCTATGTCCTGATTCTGCCGGTCCCTAGTACCAATTCCCTCTCCATTTGAGAACTTGAGGAAGACATTTACGTTGACTGTGTGCTTGTTTGTGCTTGTTTAATATCTTTCACAAATTATTTATGTCTTTTGATGGGTAA